TATCTAGTATGTATTCCTTTTATTGAAGCATTATTCCATTAGTTAATGTGAATGCAAAGAAAATAACAAAATGCAAAATATGTCTAAATGCATTATGCATGAAATATCTGAGGCACTGATCCAAAAAATGTGTTTTTTATTATGAATAATCCTTATTGGGGACAAAAGTGTTTTATCTTTTAAGAGACCAAAAATATTATGACAGCTTCTGACATGCTGACTAGTCTTCTACATTCGTTTGTCGCCGGTTGAATAACCTGTCGTACCACTCCAGCTTCTCTGGACGAACCGTGCAAATGTTGAATTGCTTTTTGTATTGGCCCAAGAAGTCTCGAATGACTACATCTCGGGTATCTTTTGTGGAGCATGTTCCCAACGAATACGTAATTGGAGCTCTCAATTGATAGGAACTATGTGAAGTTCATTTGTCTGTTTCTTGAATTCGTCGGCAATGGTCTCCAATTTCAGCTATCGTTTTGCCATCGTTGTCTTTGAAGGGACTCTCAAAATTAGTAACCTTCATCTTGCCCCTGCAACCTCTGCTAGTCAGTTCATCCAAGATAGACTTTCATTATGCTTGATGTAGACCCGATTCATTCTGAGTCCTTTATAATGCAACAGAGTGGTATACTCTTCAATTGTGGGCACCACGTATTCTGGATTGAATGTGACACATAGTCGCCTTGTAGACTGTCCTCTGCATTTTTATCTCTTGTATTACAACCCTTTTGTCCATTAGTTCAGATTATTTTGTGTGTAATAAACACCTTTTTAGGGATCAATTACCTCTTGTTATGATGCAAATGCTAAGAAAAAAATGCAAAGGCAAAAGGTTTAGTAAATAAATAAACACAAAAAATGACAAAAGAAAGAAAGGGGAGTAAGAGGAAAAAAACATGGTTAGGGTATAAACATCTTAGGGTTCTGAAATAGGGTTTTGAGGTAAGCTCTAACTCCTTGTAGTCTCCCGGTTTATGTTCTATAAAAAGGTACCCGAGTTATCCTTGCCGGTGGCCCCTTGGGCTTGCTGACCCTTAGTCCTAAACCCATCACAGGCTTGTGTCGACTAAGTTAAACTCGAGAGGACACATTCTCTTATGTCTGCACGGTGAATAAATTCACATGAAGACATAAGGTATATGAATCCCGAAGGCTACTTGCTAGGCCCGCACAGTGAATAAATTCACACGAAGGCGTCGCTTTCACCCTCACTTAAAACAGGGTTCGAAGCTCGAGTTTAGAGCCTTAGATGAAAAATCTTTAAGGATTGAAATCATTAGAAAACGTTTAGTACAACTATTTACTTGAAAAATATAATCAAAAGTAAGAAATAATGATCGAAATATTACCTTAAAATTTAAACTTACCCTTTTTGTAAAAAAGACAACTGGAAATTACCTTAGCCTGACTCACTTACGTGTTCCCAGCGGAGTCGCCAAGCTGTCGGAACCGTCTTTCGGGTGGGCCCGGGATTAAGCTTCGACTTAGGAAAATGGATTAGGAGTCGCCACCGATCTTTTATTTTAAAACAAATGGGTTGATTGGATACCCTATTTATTACCTGATATGTGTCTTTCCAAAGATGTGTCGGATTCGGGAGTCGGTTACAGTCAAGGAAGGGTTAGCACCCTTGAACTGCCCTTTCGGTACTACGTAATTTCCAGTTGTCTTAAATTAAGAAAATTGTAATTTAAAATTTAAAGGTAAAAATACGATCCCAATTACTTACTTTAGATAGTTTTAAAGGTGTACCATTAAGAGAGTCAAGAAACGTGTTAGATAGAAAAAAACAGATAATGAAAACAAAAATAAAGAAAAAATGAAGGAAAAAATGAAATAAAGAAAATAAGATAAAGTAAAAAAATAAAATAAATAAAATAAAGATAAAGAAACCAAAAAATAAATAAAAAAAGATAAAAAAAATACAAAAAAAGTAAGATAAAGATAAAGATAAAGGAAAACATAAAATAGATAAATAAAATAAAATAAATAAAATGAATATAAACAAAATAAATAAAAAAGAAAATAATAGTAAAAATAGTATATACAATGAATAAATAAATAAATAAATGTAAAGGATCAAAATAGCATCAACAGAAAGCGTAAATGACTTAAATGCCAAAACAGAAATTTAAGGACTAAAATGGACTTAACATAAATATAAAGGAACATACAATAATTAAACCAAATATAAAAGAGTGACTAAAATAAAACTGAAACGTAATGTTATGTGTGATTTTGAAAAAATAATAATTAGATGATCAAAATAAAATAAAAGTGAGAGTTAAAATATTAAACTTGTAGTTTATCCTAAGATGTTATTTGAGAATTGATTTGAAAATATAGCATTGCTGGGACCCGAGGTTCACATGCAATGGAGATAGTGTTGTCCAGTCAATTTCCCACTGTCTCTCTTGACTCTTCTCTCATACAGTACACTTTCCTTTTCTTCTCTCAAACCTCTGTTGGGGGAAAAGGTGGAAACGAGAATTATCGGTGTGAAATCCCAAGAATCATAATCTGGTACTTCATTTATCCAGATGACAGTTCTCTGAGAAATCCAAAAAAGCCGCAAAGACTTCTTCAAGCACGATGCAAAAGTTGCAATATCAGCTCCACTTGCTTCCAGGTCTTTGATCCATCATTCTAACCAGTCCTCGATTACTACCTTCTCCGTACCAGGAACCCAAAGGGGACCCAATCAACAGGATAGCGCCTTGTATCTAAATCCTTTCGGTAGTGAGTTCGTCTAGTTCTAGTGAAGTCGACGTGGTAAGAGTTTTTTTCTGTTTGGATTTTTTTCTCTGTTCGAATGGGCTTTCCCCAGATCTTTCTACTGGTCTTTTCTTATGTATTCTATGTGTGGATCTCGAATGAAATTTCTCGTGTGTAAAGTCCCCCCTCTACTTGGGTTCGATTACATGATTTTATAGCCAACACTATTGGCTATTTTTAGAGTTTAATCTCGAGTAGAACACTAATAACGTGTTTGTTGGTTGTTTGCACGTTTGTTGGAGAGGCTCCGGCGGGGAAGTCAGACGACTTGTTGATCGGGCAGTGGGAATCTACACGAACGGCGCTGGCTTGGCACTGGTGAGAACATGAGTTACGGTTTGGAAACCCTAGCCCTGATTCGGGTTGAAGACTTGGAGCGGGACCTGGATCCGGGTCGCGTGTTCTGATGTTGCTCGGGCTATCCACTACGTGGCTCACGTGGAATGGGTCTTTGCTGGATGTATTTTATTTGTAACAGGCCTAGGGCCTGATCCTGTAAACAAAGCAAACAAAAAAGAATTAATATATGTTTATTACATAATATAGTATGTATATCATATATATTATAATCAAAATATTATGGGCGAAATGTTGTGTCTACACTGTCATTGAGGGATTTGGTCGAAGTACTTGGAATGGCTACCTACAGGTATATGATGAACTGCTATTGTTTGTTAAGCTAGTATTGACTTTTAAATGATTTTGGTTTTTGAATATTTATTAGGTAAGAATGTTTGAGCTATTCTGCTTTGACGTAACATCAAGAGTATTTGAAATTTGTTCAGATTTCATTTCTTATTTCCTCTGTTTTCTCTTATTTCTTTTTTCCAGCCAGTTTGTCAACCAAAGGTCATTCGAGTCCCCTTTCAAAACATCAAACAGGGTTAATTTTTGGTTGGGCTGTATTATCCACGAGAGATGTTTATAAAATGGTCACGAGTATTGGTTGTAACCCATATTCCAACAATACTGAAAAAGCTAAGGTGAGTGCAATATTAACTTGGTTAATAACGGATACAAATCTTATCTTTATAGTGGTTTGTTACCCTTTATTTATTAAACATAATTCATGCTGCAGGAGACGTGGTTTCTTCATGAATTCAATGAGGATTTCTACGCGACGAATTGTATCTTTTCGTAGCTAGTTATCTCTTTTATTGAGTGTTACATCCTGAAATTTGATTTATATGCACTTCATATAAAAATTGTGTTATTAATACACGTGTGCGTACACTAAAAAAAATATTTCTACCCCCTCCATTCATCATTGCTAACAAGTTCTACATGCAAAAAGGTTAAAGCAACCCATTCATGATCCCACCTGATTTTCAGGTTTCATTTGGAAAGAAACAATTTTGTTTAAGTAAACTATGAACATAGGTTAAGTTGCCAATAAGTGTGTCATTCGTTATTTTCACTAGATTTATTTTCTTAAAATGTTATTTTTTTAATATTTTCGTTTGACTGAAAATATTATAAAAAATATTAATAAAAATTAATATCATAAACTACGTTTAATTAAAAACATTATATTTTTTATTTGACTATGCCCGATCCTCTTATTCCTTAATTTCAAATTAGGTTATCACCCCTGGACATTAGCAGCAGAATTTAATTGAAAATTGATCATCCAACATTAATAATAGTATTGAAATAGTATTTAAAATAGAGATGATTTTAATCATCATCACTAACATTATTAATATATACTAAAGAAATTGAGTATTGGACCCCTGTTAAATGAATAAAAATCTGGAAAAGCCGTCAGCACTCAACCTCCAATATCAAAGGACGTCCGCTAAATATCATCAAGCTCATATCCACCTTACACGTGTACCTCCACCCGCATTCGAACACTCACCGAAGGTGTTAAAAAAAGAAAGAAGTCGACCGACTTTTAGCCAACTTGGCCGACCGCACCTCTCTACCTTACCTCCAGCAGCACTCAAGTTGCTTCACCCATAAGCTAATCTTTTAACACGTGTCCCTTCCCAACGGCTAGTTATTGGATTAACCGCCATGGTAGTATACACGCACGAGAGAGCGAAAAAGATTTGAGGGGAAAGAGGTTTAATATTATTTTAAATTTTGTAGTTATCGAGTAGTTTCTAGATTTTTTAAAAAGTAAAAATCGCTAGATATTCTCCTATTTTAAAATACAAACTGCTTTTTTATCCGAACTTTACATCCTTAAAATGCCAAGCCTGTTTACTTATGGCAGTTAATTTGTTTCCTTCGTTTAGCAGCAAAACAATTCAGTCATCTTCTCTCAATTCTTAGGGTTTATCACATCTCTGTATCTAAAACAAAAATTTTTAAAATCTAGCCTTTGAAGAGTGGGTGTTCGATAAATTATCAAAACACTGTACTTTTTTTTTGGGACAAATGGGTTTGGGCAGAGTATACCGTTCGTCTTCACTGAACTTGAAACACGGAGTAAATGAGGAGGAAGAGCCACGGATAGGGTTCGTGAGATGCACGTTTGGATTGGGGAGGAAAAGAGTCGGGATATCAAATGAGATGGAGGATTTAACGCCTCTTGATTCTGACACCAAAGTTCCATTATTGAAGAGGCAGTGCAGCGAGAGGATGGCGGTGATGCTGACGGCAGATGATTACCATGAAAAATCTGCTTTCGAATCACTTCCTCGAGATGTTCTTGTAAGTAGTTAATATAAAAGTCCAAAGTTCTGTCCTTTTATTGCTTCCTATTTTTGGATTTGGAGTTGTGATTGATGAGAATTTTTTTTCTTTTTTTTCTCTCTTGCAGATTAGGATTATTTGTGGTGTGGACCATGAAGATTTGAAACAACTTTTTAACGTTTCTAAATCAATCAGAGAAGCTGTGAGTATACAAGCAGTTCAATTTGGATTGTAAATTGTTCCATTTATAGATAACACTAATAAATCTGATTTTGACTCTTATTAATCCTTTTTTTTTTTTGCAATTCCCAGACTGTAATTGCAAAGCAGTCATATTTTGCTTATAGCACACCGAAAAAGGTGAAAGCTTTTCGAACGTCCATAGAATTGGAGGAACCATGTGAATTCGACGACATTGAAGCTCCAAATGCGCCAAGGCAAATGAGGTGTCACAGGTCAATCAACAGGAAGAAACTTGTTGCTATTTCAGTGGCACTATTTGATTGACACGGAAAGTTTGTAAATATATCTTGTAGTAGTAAAAGTGTAAATTGAAAAGGGTTTGATTCGTGAATCTGGTCGTGGGATCTTTGTACATGGGTATGATTCTTTACAAGCTATTTCTTCAAATGTTTCGTTGAAGATACGAGTTGTCTTAAGCTTTTGTTAGTATCTCTATGTACATGAGAGAAAGAAAGGGTAATTCCAGATTCGGGCGTATTTGGTTTGGGGGACTTATCTTTACCATTCTGGCGTGATAAAGTTGAGATTGGAATGGACAAGTTGTTTTGAGTGATATAATAAATTTAGACACTTCCTCGTACAAAACGTCTCTACTTTTCATTAGTGATTTTTGTTCTGTTTTGCTTACTAGATTACGGTTGGGGCTCGAAGCTTCTGTAACTAATTTATAATCACAGTGCCATGTTAACGGTAAGATAAATTTGATTAGCATCGTTCCTCCAAGAATTTGAGTAAATGCACATCGCCTTGCCTTGGACAAGAGAATTTACATTTTGCGGTCAATGGTATATCTATATTCTTGTGATTTATGACCGACCATAAATATAGGAACTGGTTAACGAATGGGAGACATTTCCAAGTCCTCTTCCATCGGATAACCAACTCTTGAAGAGTGGAAAATCCATTGAATTTTGTTTACAAAAATTCAGCCAAAATATTGACAAACGTCATCGAGTAAAAGGAATTTAATAGAGATTTTATGGGAGAATTAATTGGGAATCTGTGTCGAAGCAAGTGATTTTAGCTGTTCTCTACCAGAATGAAGGAAGCCTTGATTTCAGCAATCAAAACTTAATTGGTTTTTAAATAAGGTCTGTCCATTGACAAGTTTCATATAAATTGTCCTTTTAGCGCTCTGTCTTGTATATTCCTTTCATTTGGTATAATTAATTACCGTTATCGATGCATAGTTTTTGCACAAAATTAACAACCGTTACTGACGCTTATCTTTGGCACAAATTTCAGCTAACGGTGGAATTGTTAAAAGAATCTATTTAAGGATGCATCGTTAGTACAAGTCATAAAGCTAGCAAAAAGGCTTTCGTTTTAGTGATTACCGGTTTCTCATCGCACAACCTGATCTTTGAATTCAATCTTTCGAAATAAAATTTAGATTTACATTTAGGCTAATGCCCAAATTATACCTTCTATGTCGAATAAGTGCCTAACGTTACCCCTTTAGGCGTTCGGATCGTCAACAGCGTTAGTTCTCCCCATTAAGTGATACGTGTCTTAATCTGGTAATTTTAAAAAATTTATAAAATTTTAAAAAATAAAATTATATATTTTTAAAAAATAGAAAACACATAAATTTTTAAATAACCCCTAAACTTTGAAAGCCTTCATTTCAATCCCTAAACCCACACCGACCACCGGCCTTTGTCATGGAAGAAGCTCAACCCGACCTCCCCTCCCCCTGACGATCGAAGCCCCTATGAAATCGTGACCGGTTGATGACCGATCGATGACAAATCGACGTTTTAAATCTCACGAACCCTAGGATAAAAATCTCGATCCCATGAGATTTCGACGGTGAATCGACGACAACAACATCGACACATAGCTAGGATGATGGCAAGGACTACGTCGGCAGTGATGATCGTGGTCGGAGAGGGCGGAGACAATGGATTAAGGTTATGATTTGTGATTTCGGGGTTGTTTTATAATATAAGAAAAGTTAGAGTTTTTTTTATAAATATAATAATATTTTTAATATTTAAAAAAAAAAATTTCAAAATTACTTTATGAAACGTGTCACTTAAGAGAAAAACTAATGCCATTGACGGCCCGGGCACCTAAAGTGCTAACTTTTGTAACGTTAGACACCCGGATGGACAAAACAAAAATGTAGGCATTTATTTGGCACAAAAGGTATAGTTTGGACACTTATTTGGGTATTAAACCTTTCATTTACGATTTCATATTTTCAGCCCAGGTTTTATAGGCTTGATGGGCTTCAAATGCCACATGATTTCATTGGAATCGGCCCAACACCAAAGTTCCGCTAAGTAAATATCATGATCTCATCACTCTTTTGTCACGTTTTTGGATTCGTGGTAATCATCATAATTTTAGGGATACTAAGATTTTGGGTTTGGTGGGTATTACAAATCATTAATTCGATACTAACATTCCTAATCGCAGTAGCGCCATTATTGCTTCCATTCTAGGTTTGGTGATATGAACCCGTTTATGTTTTTTTCTTCTTGAGCATCAATCCAATAAAACAACGACAAAAGCTTATTTTAAGCAACTTTCTGGTAAGCTATATCTTTCGAAGTTAAAGCAACCATAATTACCATTTTTACTATTGGGATCTATGGTTGCCAGTCCCATACATGAATCACCTTCATTATCTTATCGTTTTCTTGCCCTGAAAGTAACAAAAACTCTGTTGTCCGTTCCATCAACATTACAGCAATTTAATATATTCGTCAAGATATCAATTGTAGCTATTTTTAAGATCTGGTTTCTCGAAAAGCATGCTAATTATTTGACATGCGAAAAAAAGACGTTAAAGATTCTAGTCAACTAGCCACGTTCTTCATGTATACCAGAATATGCAAGCAATGAATTGGTGAAGAGCTATGTAGCACGGGCACGAAAATTCAGTGTCGTACTAAATACCCGATACGTTCCGAACATGGGTACGGGATGAGTATAGTTTGGGTACGTACTAGGGACATCCCATATTTAAGCGGTACAATTGAAATTAATTAGGTATGTCATAGAGATTATTTGGGACGTATCAATGACGATATTTGATGTTCGCATGCATACCATAAATAGCTTTTAAGATTTAAATAGTAAAAGAAAATGATATAGATGAATTAGGATACGCTTTTATTTTTTTTAATTAGGATTTAATTTCTCTTACAAAGAGGTATTATTCAGATTTGAAAATTTGGTAGACTACCTAATATGTGATTGAAACTCCATTTCTCTAATATTTGACTTTCACGGTGCTTCACAATCTACTTCATCATCTTGTTGTGAAAGAAATTGAAAATACTCATCCTTTGGTCTACTCACTTAGAAGTAATAAGTTAAATCCAAGTTCTGTTGAAGATTTAGTATACATCTACTACAATTTCAGTTTTTTATTAAAGAATTCTAGTCACTATAAACTCCAATGAATATCTATGTCCTTTTTATGTCTTTAAAAATTTTAAAATGTACTTTATATTTACTGTACCCTTACCATATCCGTATCTTATAATTTGAGAATTTTCGTTTCTTGTCCTCGTACCCGTACCTGTATGCTGTATCAGTGCAACACAGGTGAAGAGTTGGAAGGGCTTAATCGCCATGATTTCTGGGTTTAACCACATGTTTTGATGTTTTATCTCCATTGACCGGTCGCAGTGCATGATCTCTCTGGCCATATGCCTCATATAGCAACTTGAAATCAAACCAATTTTGCTTTGCAGGCTATCTTCCAACGCTGGCTCCAGGCACTACAGTGGTCTTTATCATGCTTGCTCAATCGTGGTCATTATTAATAGGTTTTTTTCTTTTCTTTCAAATATAGTTATTTGAAATTGGATTAAGATGTGTGATTAGAAGATTTATCTTTATGCCATTAGCTTGTATGCAACACTCTGCAGTCTTATTAGGTAATGAAATGCAATATAGGGTGAGTAGAAAGCTAAGAAATTTTAACCCTTAAAAGAAAACTTTGTAAACGTTCAATAGTTTGAATGATTGACAACATATCCATTAGAAAATAAGATCCAAATGTATCCATCAAACCCATATTTGTAATTCCCCATATTCTGTATTTGTACCCTATTTTAGCTAACTAATGGATCATTTTTTTTTTTGGTTATCTTTACCTTTCTCTTTGAAGCAAAGGTATTTTGTAATGGCGCATTTGTTTAGAATTTTTCCCTTGTGCCCTACTCAAAGGTGTGCTAAGAACATCACTCTTGCTTTTACCACACAATTAATGTAATGTACCTAACGCCTCCATTGGCATTATTTTAAACATCAAACACGGAATAGGGTTTTAGGCCTTTTATGCAGTGTAGCTCCACAACAGCTCCAACAATGGAATAAAGAAAAACACTTTACAACTAACACACGAAACTAATGAACAAAAATGCCCATCATTACATTGCAATTGCATATCCCATAAAGAGGTGACAAAACTAGGAAGGCTTTTTCCAAAACTGTAAGAAAAAGCTTAAGAAACCGATCTATGTATGTTAACCGAGTTTGCTCATTGGATCTTGTAGACAAATAATGAGTAGCTAGGCAAGAGAAATAACCACTCCTCACCCAGATAAGGCGGGTGAATATGCAAGCACTCGACGGAATTGACAAACATGAGGTCCCAGAGGTGATGGATTGACGCCATGTGCGTAGCCAATTATGCTGTTAAAAGGAGATGAAGATCGACCATTGCCGGGGTTCAACATTCAGGTTTTAACGGAGTTTGCGGATTCCCTTTGCTGGTTAAAAGAAAAACCCATCTTTTTTTTCCGTTCATTAATTGATAATCATATCAATCCTCAAGGATTTGTGGTTGTAAAACCTTAGTTGTTGTGTAAAGATTTCATAAAATATTGATCCGTGACTCGCACAATAATGAGGCATCTTGTCTGGGAATACACCCCTAGTGTGGAATTTGACACCTGTTATATCATATGGTTCATTCATTTTCCAAAAAAAAAAACATTTCATTTGTCTTGTTCCAAAGTTTTTTTTTTTGGGTAAGATCAGCTGCCCTAAATTCCTCTTTATCTACAAACTTTAATCCATTTTAATGAAAGGGATCAATCCCCTTTGGGTTCTCCTTTTGCATAATGGTGCTTTGCAATAACACTACTTTTGGCTTTTTCTTAAGTTCCTCTTAGAACCTAAACCAAATCAACCCTAAAATAAGGTTCAAAAGAAGAAAGCTATTTGACTGCTGGCTCAAGCCATCCAACAGAGGCCTTCACATGGTTTTGAAGTGGAGTGCTTTTCCATGCTGAGAAAATTGAAAGCTACTTTTTCTTTCTTTTCTCATTGCACCAAATAGAAAGGCTATCCTCTGAAATTGGGTGGTCCATGAGGGCTTTGTTTATCTCTCTCAAACCCTTAATCGCGCCGTTTTGTCTTTATTATTCAACTTCG